AGGAGTAACTGCAAGTGTGGCCCAAAATAAATAACTGAAAACTGTTTTAATCTTTAGCTGACCCTTGGATTCCTAGCAATACCAGGAGTGACCCCTAAGCATAGAATCAGTAGTAAGCCCCAAGCACCACTGGACGTGGCCAAAAAAAAAAAAAAAAACCCAAAACCTAACACAAAGTTCTTTTAATCTCTATTATTCTAAAGTCCAGAACCTGGTATTACAGTGTTTTGACATTTCCATGATAAAATATCACTTTGCAAGATAAGCCAAACATTGAAAACTCAAACAACAAATACATCTTTTTGCTTCAATGTGTCAGAAATTCAGAAACACTTCAGTTAGTTCTAGGTTGGAGTCTACAATGAGACTGCAGTCAAGAATTTGGTCAGTCATGGTTTGGAGTCAAGGCTGACAGGGTCACACACAGCTGACAAGGAATGCTGGTTGCTAGTAGGGAGCCACGGTTCCTGCTCATGTGAGTGTCACAGGAGCTTTGATTATTCTCATGACGTGGCGGCTGACCTCTCCCTTGAGCTAGCCTTCCAAATAAGATGAAGATAGAAAAGGCAAGGTCTTTTATCACTTAGCCTTTAAAGTGGCATAGTCACTTTTCCAATATTTTATTAGTTACAGAAATCAACACTGACACAGAGCATCAAGAACAGGGCCAATAACTGTACAGGGGGTAAGGCACTTGCCTTGCATGTGGATGACTCTGGTTCAATCCCTGGCAATGCATATACTCCCCTGAGCACAGAGCCAGGAGTAAACCCTGAGCACTGTGAAGTGTGGCCCACCCAAAATATGTGGAGATCATATGAATACCAGCAAGGTAGGATCATTCATCTCAGAGACTGGCTATTACAAGTATCCTAAGTGACAGTAGGTATTCAACAAACCCCATTTACTTCCTGACCTTGAAACTGTGTCTATGCTCTTTTAAACCTCATAGTTTGCGATGTACCATACTTAGTACTTGGTTGGGGTTTTTTGGTTGCTATGTTTTTGGTTTTTAAAGGAGACGCTGCCTGCCAATTTAATAGCATCCCCAGTCAACTTTATTTAGTTTGAGGGCCACACTCTGAAGCACTCAGAATCTGAGCTCAGGGATTACTCCTGACTGAGTTCAGGGAACCAGATAAATGTAAGGATTGGACCTGGGTTAGCTGCATGCAAGGCAAGTGCCTTGCCGAATATATTATCTCTCCAACCAAGTTGTGGTCAATTTAGGTCACACCTAGTGGTATTCAGGGTATTCCAGGCTCTGTGCTCAGGGGACATTCCTAGATACACTCAGGGGACCATGAGAGATGCCAGAGAATGGACAGGGACCAGCGCATGAGATGCAGGTGCTTATCCCTATATTGTTTCTTGAACTGCTAGCATTTGGCTTTGTTGGAGGCTTCAATCTAGAGCAATTTATTAATATTTTCTTCCATGGGTTGTGCTTTTGGTGTTATTTCAAAAGCAACATCACCAAACCCAAGGTTAAATTAAATTTTCTTACCTGATCTTTTAGAAATTTGATAGTTCAGCATTTTATTTTTAAGCCTAAGGTCAATTTTGAATTTATGTTAAAAGCATAAAGCCAGGGTCTAGTTTCTCACCCTTTTGCTTTTTTGCATGTGCATGCAGTTGCTATAAAAATATACATTGGAAAAGAGTAACTGGGGGCTGGAGTGATATTACAGTGGGTAGGGCACTGGCCTTGCACACGGCTGACCCAGCCAACCCCGGTTTTATTCTCAGCAACCCATATGGTCCCCTGAGCACCACCAGGAGTAATTTCTGAGTGCAGAGCCAGGAATAACCCCTGTGCATCTCCAGGTGTGACCCAAAAAGAAAAAAAGAAAAGAGTAACTTTCTCCACTGAATTGTCTTTTTGCCCCTTTGTTAAAGATCACCTGACCATATTTGTATGGATTCATTTCGGAAGGGTTGTTTTTTGGTTTGTTTGTTTTTTGTTTTCCCACTTTTGTGGCTACACGTGGCTGTGTTTAGGACTTACTCCCGGCTCTGTTTGTAGGGATCATTCCTGGCGGGCTAAGGGAACCATAAGGGATGCACAAGGCTAAAGCCCTACAGCCATACTATCTCTTTGGGCTCTATTTCTGAGATTTTTACTCTGCTCCGTTAATCTATTGTTTTTTTTCTCCCACCAATATCACACTTAGTTACTACAGCTTTATAATAAGTCCTGAAATTGATGTGAATACTCCTAAACTTGGTTCTTCCATACTATGCCAGTTATTCTGGGTCTTTTGACTTTCTCTATAAACATTAAAGTTAATCTAATATCCACAAAGAATTCACTTTGATTTTTACTGGAACCCCACAAAAACTATAGATAAAATTGGAAAGAACTGAGGCTAAAACTAAGGAGATTTCGAGTCAGGTAGAACTTCCATTACACTGTTGATTGGGAACAGCAAGAGGAAACATTCTTGTCTTACTTTGTTCTTCTGGCTTTTGGGACACACCAAGCTGTGCTCAGGGATTCTCTCCTGCCAGTGTCCTGGGACTGTGTTTGCTGCTGGGCATCCAACCTGAGCTGGCTGTGTGCAGGACTTTCCTGCTGTACTGTTTCTCCAGCCCCATGCCTTATTTTAACCCTGGAAGGAAGCATCTAGTTTACACCATTAAGCTAATATGTCAATTAGTTATTAGTACAGTTCAGTACTGAACACTCTACATTATTTCTCTGGTACAGAGCCAAGAGTAAGTGCCCTCAGCACCCCTGTGTGTGGGCCCCAGTTCCCACCTGTTATTGTGTTTGGCATATCGAATACATCATGGGTAGCTTGCCAGGCTTTGCCATGCCGGCGAGATACTCTTGCTAGCTTGCTGGGCTCTCTAAGAGGGGCGGAGGAATCAAACTCGGGGCTGGAGTGATAGCACAGCGGGTAGGGTATTTGCCTTGCATGCAGCCAACATGGCTGACTCGAGTATGCCAGTAGTATGCATTTTTTCCATTTTACTAACTGAAGTACTTGTCATAAAATGTAACAATACTTAGCATTTAGCAAGTTGCATTTTAGCAACTGATAGCCTATTAAAACGACCATATAAACTTTTAGAAAGAGCAGTTTATCAGTAGACTTTGCCAGAATAGGAGTACAAGTTTTTAATGTTTTTTAGTTTACCTGGGAGCCACACCTTGCTGTGCTCAGGGCTTACTCCTGGCTCTATGCTTGTGGGTCACTAATTGTGGTATTCAGGGGACTGTATCTGGCATCAGGGATCGAACTGTTCAGTACGTGCAAGGCAGGCACCTAAACCCCTGTATTATCTCGCCAGCCCAGTATTTTTGATGTTTTGATCAGAAAATACCAAAAGAGAAACAGGTTATTATATCTATAATTTCAATTATTAATAATTTACTTGGGCTAGAGCGACAACACCACCAGTAGGCGTTTGTCTTGCACACGGCTGACCCGGGTTCGATTCCTCTGCCCCTCGGAGAGTCCGGCAAGCTACCGAGAGTATCTCACCCGCACAGAAAACCCTGGCAAGCTCCTCGTGACATATTCAATATGCCAAAAACAGTAGCAACAAGTCTCACGATTTGTTGTGAGATGTTACTGGTGCCCACTCGAGCAAATTGATGAATAATGAAGGACAATGCTACTGTACTATAATTTACTAGTAATTATCAAAATACACTGAGGTAAGAAGTATAAAGTTGAAAAATACAATATATGGTAAGAGCAATGAAGTATATTAAAAGGTAAACATAAAAAATAGGAATCATAAGTGTTGGTACATAACTACATACAGTAAATGGGCTAACACTCCTAAAGGCTGGGGCTGGAAGACAGTGCAGTAGCCAAGGTGCTTGTCTTGCACGTGGCCAACCATATTCAATCCCTAACCATCACATAAGATACCCTGAACCCTGTCACGAGTCCCTGAGCACAGAGCCAGGAGTAAGTCCAGCCACTATCAGATGTGGCCCCCAAACAAAATAATAATAATAAAATTTCAAAAGAAAGTAAGAAAAATTAAAGTTGATGGGCAGGAGAGATAGTATCTCAGGTAGGGAGTTTGCCGTGCACAGGGTCTACCAGGGTTTCATCCCTGGCACCATCTATGGTTCTCCAAGAATAGCCAGGAGTAATCTCAGAGCATAAAGCCAGGAGTAAGCTCTGAAGACCTCTGGGTGTGGCCCCAAAACTGAAGGGGTTGGGGGCAGGGAAAGATGATACTAGGGTCTACAGATCTACAGACTGATTCACTGACCAAAAGCATCTGCCTTCAAGCATGAAGGTATCTGTTTAACCCTCTACTAACTTGGTTCACCCTGCTGCACCAGAATGTATGGTCTCTGGCACAGTCAGCTGTGTCTGAACACAGCTGCAGTGTGTAACCCCCGTGAGCAACCTCACTAAAGATGTACCAGCGCTGAGGCCAAGACTGCAACCCCTGTAAGCAGAGCATCACAGCAATGCCTCTGAAAGCATCACAACTAAGCCTAACCCCGAGGAATACCATAGCTGAAAGTGCGAGCACAGCAATCAGATATGCTAACATAGGCTACCATCACTACCGCACACATACAACAGTCAGCATCAGCATCGGAAAGAAGAATTTTTAAAATAAGAAAGAAGATGAAATATTTAGTGTAAGAAACTTTAATGGTACACAGAATGCTTTTGGGGAGGGAGGTGGGGGGGAGGTTGGGTTACATCCAACAGTACTTAGTACTCAGGGTTTACTCCTGGCTCTGCACTCAGGTTTCACCTCTGTTGGGCTCAGGGGACCATAGGGAATGCCAGGAATCAAACCCGGAACAGCTGCATACAAGCAAGAACCCTACCCTGTATTATCTCTCTGGCCCAAGAAGACATTTTTAATGATAGATGTACACACTAGAAAAGCAAGAAAAAGAATTGGTTTGGAATTCTGTAATTCAATTTGATTGATATTGATTATCAATACTACAATATATTTATCTGTTTGAAAAAAATCTATTGACTTTATTAAAATATTATCTACACCACAAGTTAAGATTTCTTGAGAGATATTTTATTTACAGAGGTCATAGGGATTAACAAAATTTTATTAACACAATTATTAGTAATAGCATCAAAGTAATTAAATAGAAAATATCACTTGTTATATAATAAACATTAAAACACAGTTCCCATGCTACCTTTAGCCTTTTCATGGCTCAACATTTATCAAATATAGAAATAAGACTGCATAAAAATTTAATGCATAAAAATAATGCTAATTTTATACCAGATTCATCAATTTTAAAGGTATCTGGAATAAAGTACACTACATTACATTTCCTAAATATGAAGAGAAGTATCAAATGGAACTAAAAACATATAAAGAAATTATCCAGAAATGTTGTGTATTTAAATTTTGGGGCCACATTTGGCAATGCTCAGGGACTACAGCTGGTCTTATTCCTCTTGTATTATCTTTCTGGCACTCTTGCAAATAATTTTGCAGAAGATACATTACATTTTTTGTAATCATTAAATCTGAAGTACTTTTAGGTGCATTCTTGTCCACACAGTTTAACAACACTAAGGTACTAAGTGAATGAGAAAATATTTTTAAGGAGAAACAGAAGGCAACATTATCATTTGAAGGATAGAAAAGATGTGTTTTGATTTGCAAATACTGTTCTTTATCCAAGTAATCCTAATATTTTCATTATCCTTGAAAGATAGAGACTTTTACTGATGGAAGGCTTCTATTCTTATTTGGGATGGATCTTCTGGACGTCTTAAGGCAATTCCATTTCGTAGAAGCAGCTCAATGTAAGGTGGCCAAAATGAATCAGTGATTTTGACATATGGATCATGTGGAACATCAAATAATCTATTTATAAGAATCTAAAGGAAAAAAAGTAAAAATACCTCATTTGGGAAAAAAATTGATGCAGCTATAATAAACAAACTACTCACAAAAACTTGATCTCTTTTCTCTTTGAATATTTTTATAATTCCTATGAGTTAATTCATATACCTAATTTTTTTAAAGACTATAGACATTAGTAAATCAAAAGAACTTTAAAATGAATCTGTTAATCTGTTAATTTTTAAAACATTTCCTAAAAATTAGCCGACATTTATCATTCTCCCACGTTTTAGGATATATATATATATACATGTATATATATATATGTATATATACATATATGTATATATATATAAGTTTTTGGTATTTCGCTTTTGGGCCACACCTGGCTTTGGGGATATTCCTAGCTCAGTACTCAGGAGTTGCTACTGGTCGTACTTAGAGGACCATTCAGTGCTAGGGTTCCCCAATGTGAAGTACTGCTCCAGTCCTTTGAGACTCTCACTGGCCCAGTATTTACAATCTTTAGATTATAATCACCTCTGAAAAGCAAAGAAAATTTTAATAAGGATATGCACAAGTTTTTTTTAAATTCATCAACATTGTGTCCCCCATGGAGAGTTGATGAAAAACACCTAAGATAAACCTTCAAAAGATTTGATTTATCATCATTTCCATCAGCTTCATCCTGAGTGTCTGACTCCTTGATCAAGGATGTTGAGAGGACCCACCCATAACCTGAGAAGTTTTAAGTATTTATAGTAAATAACAGTATTTATAGTAAATAAGGTGCCTGCTTCACATTTAGTCAAGCACAGTTCAATCCCTGGCACAAGTGGTTCTCCAAAGCAAAATGGTAAGAATAGACTCTGAGCATGGCTGGTATGGCCCAATCTTACCCAAATATCATCTTGTATTTCTTAAAAAGAAAGTTAATTATTCCTGAGAAACTTTATTTACTTGATTTCAGTAAGAATTTAACTACAATAATGTTAAAAGATTCTATTATCCAATCTAATATTTACATTTCACTTTTAGAAGAAATCCTACTCTATATTAAAATATCCTGAGACATGAAAAGTACTCAGCTGAATGAAAATAGAATTTAGAATCCAATCCAATCAAAATGATAATGAAATGGAGCTTTGTAAAATAATTCTTTCTTCTAAGCTTACTGAAGATTTTTTCTAAAGGGTCATTAATTGTTAATTATTCTGCTTCTTTTTAGATTGTTTTGCCTACCTTTTCTGACCAATTTGCAATGCACTATTATGCTGATATTTGAAATTATTCATATAATTGATAACTCCTCTATCTGTCTCTCTCTTTTTCTGTGGCAGTGGTGGATTACCCAGGGCTTCTACTAAGTAATAGAAAATTTTTTTCTTTTTGATTTTTTTTGGGAGGCAGAAGGCTCCCCAAAGTACTAAAGGGCATGGTAACCTTCCCTGGAGCCAATTAGCTCAATGTGAGGACCCGGTGGTGCCAGTGATTATGGGGCATCCTGGTGATGCTGGGGACTAAACTGGGGTTAGGTACAATGTGCTTAAACTCCTGAACTATCTCTCCAATTCCAGAAAGTTTTCTCAAACTAATAGTTTTAGAAATGATTATTAGTTACTCTCATTTCATATTCATTGAAAAAATTACATTATTTCGAGCTGGGGAAGAAGTTCAGAAGGCAAGTGCAGACACTTCAAATGGTGGGCATTTGGATTTGATTCTGGGTACCACTCGATCTCCTGAGTAGCACAGAAGTGACCCCCACCAAGTACCGAGCTGGGAAAAGCCCGAGAGCACAGCCAGAAGTAGCCCCACCTGGTGAGATGATAAAATTCTTTCTACTGCATATAGAAACTAGCTTTACACTAATGGAAAGTTAATACATGCATAAATAAGGATTCGTGCATACCTTAAGAGTTAAGGCAATAGTTTTATTCCAAGCTATGTATAATTGCTCACAGATCGCTTATTAAGAGACATCATCAGAATAAGGAAAATGAACACTTACCTCTAGCATTTCATGCAATGTTATAAGTTGTGCATTTGATTCTTGCATGTTTCTCTTTGAAAGAAATATGGATGACAAAAACAAAATCAAAAACAGAAGAGTATTAAAACATTGACAAAATTTAAAAAGTAAGATTTCTTGTTGGCAAAGGTAAAACCAAAACTTTATAATTAGGTTATTTAAAAAGAATTCTGATATAGAAATATGGTTGTGGGAAGGTGTAACAGTGGTGGGATTGGTATTCAAAAATTATATCGTAATCATTCTGCTGCCTACAAGAAACACATCTGAACAGTCAGAGCAAACACAGACCCAAAGTCAAAGGAAGGAAAACAATCCTGCAAGCAAACAATTCCCTCAAAAGAGCCAGGATGGCCATACTAGTCTCCGACAACATAGATTTCAGGTTGAAAAAGATTAGAAGGGACAGCACTTTTTTTTAAATAAAGGACATTTTTAAATAATCAAGGGATATGTACAGCAGAAAGAAATCAGACTCCTAAACATTTACACACACAATGAGGGACCAGCTAAGTGCTTAAAACAACTGCTAACAGATTTTAAGGAGGATATTGGTAGCAACACAATAGTAGTTGGAGACTTCAACACCATGTTATCACCTCTGGATAGATCAACAAGATTAAAACTCAGCAAGGAAACACTGGCTTTAAAGGAAGAAACAGAAGAGAGAGGGATAGAAGATCTATACAAGGCTTCACATTCCCACCACGCCCCCCCCCCAAAAAAAAAAGGTATACACATTCTTTTCCAGTGCACATGAAACATTTTCCAAAATAGATCGCAAGCTGGGTCACAAAACATACCTCAATAGAATCAAAGATAGAAACTGTATCAACTATCTTTTCAGACCACGATGCATTGAAAATAGAAGTGAATCACACACAGACACAGAGAACCAAATCAAACACCTGGAAATTAAACAACTCAATGTTGAACGAGTGGGTAAGGAAGGAAATCAAGGAAGAAACAAATGAGAATGAAGACACGAGCTACCAGAACCTATGGGACGCAGCTAAAGCTGTGTTAACGGGAAAATTTATAGATCTGCAAGCATTTCTCAGGAAGGAAGAAAGAGCCAATATAAATAACTTGACTTCACAGCTCACGATCTTAGAAAAGGACCAACAAAAGGAGTCCATACCAGCAGAAGGAAAGAAATAATAAAACAAATTAATGACATGGAAAACCAAAAAACAATCCGAAAGATCAATAAAACCAAGAGCTGGTTCTTTGAGAAAATAAACAAGACTGATAAGCCACTAGCAAGACTCATAGAGAGAGAGAGAGAGAGAGAGAGAGAGAGAGAGAGAGAAAGAGAGAGAACACCATAACAAACTGAATCAGAAATGAAAAGGGGGACATCACAACAGAAACCAAAGAAATTCAAAAGATCATCAAAGACTACTTTGAAAGTCTGTAATGCCATGAAACAAGAAAACCTAGAAGAAATGGAAAAATTCCTGGACTCCTATAATTTCCCAAGGCTGAACCAAGAAGATTTGGAATACCTGAGTAGACCTATTACTATCAATAGAAATTGTATCAACTATTTTTTCAGACCACGATTGAAACTGTAATCAAAAGTCTTCCCCAAAACAAAAGCCCAATTCCAGGTGGATTCACTAGCAAATTTTCCCAAACATTTAAAGAGGACCTATTGTCAGTTTTTCTGAAGTTTTCCCAGGAAATTGAAGAAACAGAAACTCTCCCAAACAGTTTCTATGAGGCACATATCTCCCTAATACCAAAGGAAATAGGGTCACCACAAAAAAAGAAAATTACTAGCCGATATCCCTGATGAACATGGATGTGAATATCCTCAACAAAATATTAGCAAATAGAATCCAGCAACTTATCAAAAAGATTGTACACCACGACCAAGTGGGATTTAAGGATGCAAGAATGGTTTAACATTCAGAAATCAATCAACATAATCCATCATATCAACAAAAGAAAAGATAAAAACCATATGATCATATCAATAGATGCAGAGAACACATTTGACAAGATCCAGCACCCGTTTAAGATGAAAACTCTCACCAAAATAGGTACTGCAGGAACTTTCCTCAACATAGTCAAAGTCATCTACCACAAGCCTATGGCAAGTATTATGCTCAACAGGGAGAAACTAAGAGCCTTCCCTCCAAGATCAGGGACAAGACAAGGATGACCACTCTCACCACTTCTCTTCAATATAGTACTGGAAGTACTTGCAATAGCGGTTAGGTAAGAAAAAGATATTAAGGGTATTCAGGTAGGAAAGCACAGCAGTAGGGCACTTGCCCTGCACACAGCCAGCCCGGCTGAGCCGGGTTCGATTCCTCCACCCCTCTTGGAGAGCCCGGCAAGCTACCGAAAGTATCCACATGGCAAAGCCTGCCAATATGCCAAACACAGTAACAAGAAGTCTCAAAATGGAGACGTTACTGGGCCCACTCGACCAAATCAATGACGGGAGGACAGACAGACAGAATATAGGGAAGGAAGAAGTCGAGCTCTCACTATTCACAGATTATATGATACTATACTTAGAGAACCCAAAAGTCTCTACCAAGAAGCTCCTAGAAACAATAGTCTTGTGAAGTCACAGGCTATAAAATCAATACCGTAAAGTCCATGGCTATTCTATATACAAATAATGAGAAGAAAGTGACATGGAAAAAGCAACACCATTCACAATCATGCCTCAGAAAATCAAGTACTTCAGAATCAGCTTAACTAAGGAGGTAAAGGACCTGCACAAAGAAAACTACACGCCACTCCCCAAGCAAGTAGAAACAGAGATAAATAAATGGGATTATATTAAGAAGCTTCTGTACCTCAAAAGAAGTAGTGACAGGAATAAAAAGACAGTCTACAGAGTGGGAAAGAATATTCACTCAATATCCATCTTATAAGGGGTTGATATCATGGATATAGATGATACCAGTTGAACTCCACAAGAAGAAAACATCCAACCCCATTAGAAAATGGGGTGATGAAATGAACAGAAACTTTCTAAAAGACGAAATCTGAATGGCCAAAAGGAACATGAAAAAAAATGCTCTTCATCACTAATCATCAGGGAGATGCAGATCAAAACGACAATGAGATATCATCTCACACCACAAAGACTGGCCCACATCCAAAAGAACAAAAGCAACCGGTGTTGGCATGGATGTGGTGGGAATGCCGACTGGTTCAGCCCTTTTGGAAAACAGTATGGACTTTTCTCAAAAAATTAGAAATTGAGCTCCCATTTGACTCAGCAATACCACTTCTGAGAATATAGCCCGTAGATGCAAAAAAAAGTACAGTAGAAATGACATCTGCACTTGTATGTTCATTGCAGCACTGTTTACAATAGCCAGAATCTGGAAAAAACCTGAGTGCCCAAGAACAGATGACTGGCTAAAGAAACTTTGATACGTCTACACAATGGAATACTATGCAGCTGTTAGAAAAGATAAAGTCATGAAATTTGCATATAAGTGGATTAACACGGAGAGTATCATGCTAAGTGATATGAGTCAGAAAGAGAGGGACAGACATAAAAGGACTGCACTCATTTGTGGAATATAAAGTAACAGAATGCGAGACTAACACCCAAGGATAGTAGAGATAAGGGCCAGGAGGATTGCTTCATGGCTTGGAAGCCGGCCTCACATGCCGGCTCACATGGGGAAAAGGCAACTCAGATAGCGAAGGGACCACCAAGTAAAGAATGCTTGGAGGACCTGCTTGGGATGGGAGATGTGTGCTGAAAGTAGACTACAGACCGAATATGATGGCCACTTAATACTTCCATTGCAGACCACAACAACACGCTAAAGGAGAGAGAAAGTAAAAGGCCTGCCACAGAGCCGGAGGGTAGGGGTAAGGGGAGGAAAACTGGGAACATTGGTGGTGGAGAACAGGCACTGGTGGAGGGATGGGTACTCGATCACTGTATGGCTGAAATGTAAGCACGAAAGTTTGTAAGTCTGTAACTGTACCTCATTGGTGAGTCATGAAAAAAATTTAAAAAATAATAAAAAAAGGTAAAGGTAAAAGGTAAAGGCCCTCCCGTTGATCATCGATTTGCTCGAGCGGGCCCAGTAACGTCTCCATTGGAGACATTGTTGTTACTGTGTTTGGCATATCGAATACGTCACGGGTAGCTTGCCAGGCCCTGCCGTGCGGGCGAGATACTCTCGGTAGCTTGCCGGGCTCTCCGAGAGGGGCGGAGGAATCGAACTCGGGTCGGCCATGTTGGCTGCGTGCAAGGCAAACGCCCTACCGCTGTGCTATCGCTATTGCCGTGTCTCAATGAAATGTGCATGTGGCTTTCACTTTAAAAAAAAATTTTTTTTTAAATAAAAAAGTGATCTAATCCTATTATATTGAACTTGCTTCCATTTTTTTTTCTTGTTTAGTTTGGGGGTCACACTTGGTGGCATTTTCTTCTAGTTCTGCACTCAGGTGTCACTCCTGGTACTTCTTTTGGGACCATAGACAGTGCCAGAGATAGAAGCAAGGTCAGTTGTATACAAGGCATGTGACTTATCTGCTCTATTATTTTATAAGCTGTTTTCAATTTTCAGCGAATATAACATGATGAAATCTGTACATATATCTTTGTCTGCCTGCAAAATACTTAAATTACAAAAAGTATGCAAAAAATCTACATTTTAATCTGTCTAAACCAATTTCATATGTGAAAATGAAAATGTCATGAATGTTTTCCCTAAAACTTATATTTTTCTGGTAAGAAATAAGACCCAATCAGTGGCCGAATAAATAGCAGTACTCCTACGTAAAATAATAATAATAATAATAATAACAATAATAAATAAGACCCAAGTGGTAGAGCACACGTCTTCTATGTGTGAAGCTTCTGGGTTTAATTCTTGGTACTAGAGGCTTGCTTGTCACTGTCAGAGAAGTCCTGGCACCTGAGCATCACCAGGAATGGCCCCTACAATCAACAAAAAAAATGTATAAAACTTACCTTTTTCTTTTTAACATTTCGCTCAGGTAGAGGAAAATGATCTTCTAGAAATGCACCCAAGGAAATCAAGAGTTTCTCCTTAAATTCTTTTACATCATGAAGCTTAGCCTCCAGTTTTTCAATGATGCTAGAGGATTTTTAAAAATTAAAGAAATATTTCACTGGCAAAATACATTAAATATATACAAGTAAACTGTTATTCATAAAGTTGATCAAAAACTTTTTTTCCAAACTTCAACTCTTCAAACCAAATAATGAATTTATGAAACTATTACTTATATAACAGAGCTAAAGGTATATCTTTTAAAAATTTCTAAGTAACATTTAAAAGTCATTTAAATAATAGTAGATAAAACTTAAAGACTCAAGATGTCTAATGTTTGCCTTATTCTAACCTATGTATTATGAACGTAAATGAAAATGCTTTCTCCACTTTTAAGTTTCCAGAAGATAAAATCAATACCTTGATTCAGAAAGTGGCACAACCTGCTGTGTCAATTCACTGTGTAATAGATTAAGTGATTCCATTATCTGTTGCTGTTCATGTAACCATTGTTGCTCCCTTTAAAGATGGAAAAACAAAATCTATTGTCAAATAAAATATTAATGCTGGTTCAATATATCAGAATTGTCAATGAATAATAGTAATTATAATATACACAGACCTTGGGGCTGGAGTGATAGCACAGCGGGTAGGGCATTTGCCTTGCACATAGCCAACCCCGGTTCGATTCCCAGCATCCCATATGGTCCCCTGAGCACCGCCAGAAGTAATTCCTGATGCATGAGCCAGGAGTAACCTCTGATCATTGCCAGGTATGACCCAAAAGTTAAAAAAAAACAAAAACACAGACCTTTCCAAGTCTTCTTTCAACTTTTCATTCTTTGCCCGAATAGTAGAGAGTACCAATTCAAGATCATGCTTCAATTTTTGAAACTAGAACAAAAATGATTCAGATTGTTTAACCTTTATTTCTATAACAGTGATACTTCTAATGACAAAAATTACATATTGGTCTAGTATATTCAGAAATCTATTAAAATATCCTACCAGAAAGATTTTGAAGGAAAATATATAGCAGGTATTAAGTATATTTAACATTTCACTATCAGATTAATATTATGAGAATGCTTTAATTATATATTGAAAGATAATGTAAGGTTAAATATTCAGTAATTAGGCATATTAGGTCCCTCTTCTGAGAAGACTACATAAATAGATGTAAGTGAATAAACTCATTCAGCAAATCTTTATTGTTAAAGGAGTCAGAGATGCAATAAACTAATGTACACAAATGAACACCCAACCTAGTGATCCCTGAGTCCAGAGGGATAACGTCACACGTCCTCATACCATATATTTTTCGTTGACAGGTGTGTGGATTTAAAGTTGGCTACGTGGGGCTGCAGCAATTACAGAAGACAGGGCACTTGCTTTGTATGAGGCCAGCCCAGGTTCGATCCCCTGCACCCCATATGATCACCTGAGCAGAGCCAAGCCTGATCCTTAAGTGAAAAGTCAGAAATAAGCCCTGGGCACTGCCAAGTGTGGGCCCCCACAGCACCCCTCATCCTCCAATTTTAGCTGCTTGGTCGTGAGAAAGTAAAGGTCTAATAATATGAGTTCTTATTATGTGCTCCACATGTGAACTCTGTATTTTCAGTACCAGTATTCTTCAAATTCTAAGCGTTTCTTCAGTTCTGTAAGGCAAATCATCTCTTTTTTCATCACTACTACTGTCTCTAGGCAAACAGATCTCTATGCCCTATAATACCGTTTAAAACTCTTATTTGCTTTTATTTTTTTCTCCTATACCTCCAACACTTATACCTAATGGATTTAACACATTAAAAATATGCCTTCACTGATAATTACATAACTATTAAAATGGAAAAATGTATGGGTATAGTCATGCTTATTCATTTTGCTTTCTGTTGTCAGGGGATGGAACCCTCGTCATCCACTTGTAAGGCAAGCTTCCTGCCCACTGAACTATCACTCCAAACTTTATAATGAAGCATTTTGCTTTATTATAAAGAACTTAATTAAAAATTTAGTACAAGATTGAATAAGGCCCTCCCGTTGTTTGTCGATTTGCTCGAGTGGGCCCAGTCACGTCTCCATTGGAGACTTTGTTGTTACTGTGTCTGGCATATCGAATACGTCACGGGGAGCTTGCCAGGCTCTGCCGTGCAGGCGAGATACTCTCGGTAGCTTGCCGGGCTCTCCGAGAGGGGCGGAGGAATCGAACTCGGGTCGGCCATGTTGGCTGTGTGCAAGGCAAACGCCCTACCGCTGTGCTATCGCTCCAGCCTTGCACACAAGATTGAATATTACATATTAAATAGTAACTTTATCAATAGTTCTGATACAAAAATTCAGTTTGAAAAATCATATCAATTAAAATATTCTTTTCAATGAAATACAGAAAAAAACAGAAAAAGTACCATAGTTTTATTGTTTATATGTATTGCTTTTACATACATATTGGTGGGCACAGCTGGGCACCCTGGCTCTATGCTTAGGACTCTAAAGTCCTGTTAGGGTTTGGGGAATCACATGTGGTGCCAGGCTTCAAACCCAGGTCAGCTGCATGCAAAGCAAGCATTTACCCCCTGTACTTTCTCTCAGGACCAGTAGCTTGGCTTTAAGGTTGTTTAACTCTACTTTTTTTTTTTTGCCTTTTGGGTCACACCCGGCGATGCTCAGGGGTTGATCCTAGCTCATGCACACAGGAATCACCTCTGGCAGTGCTCGGGGGACCATATGGGATGCTGGGAATCGAACCTATGTCGGCCATGTTGGCTGCATGCAAGGCAAACGCCCTACCTGCTGTGCTATTGCTCCAGCCCCTAACTCTACTTCTTATATCATGAATGTATCCAAAATACTTCTAGTTATAAATTATTTGTGGTTACTGCAAATTCAGTAAGTGACTTACTTCTTCTTTTCCTAGTGTTATCAGAACATCTTCACTCAGTGGAGTTACTACAGAAACAAACAAAATTAAAATTATACATATTTTAAAAATCTCAAAAACCTTAAGAGTTTAATTCTATGGTAGATACATAGAATATTTATCAGAACTGTATACTTGAAAACAGTATAGCAACTTATGTGTGTTTTACTAAAAGTGAAAAACTATATATAAAACCAAAAAGTTGACTTAAGGAGTCCAGCTGCTTACAATAAAGGATCTAACATTCATGTCATCAGAATCCCAGGGCAAAGGAAAGCACTGAAAAAATATCTGGAGAAATAAAAGCTGAAAAGCTCTCAAAGTCTGAACTGCAGATATGTTCAATGATGAGTTGGCCTTGGGTCCATCCCACAGTACACGTGGAAGCGTGTGCACGTACACATAGAACAAATTCTGTGAAAGACGTAAATTCAAATGCTCAGTCATGTCAAAGAACTTAACCCCATCCCTCACCCCTAAGTCCAAGCCATGCTCTTTCAAGCCCGTATTCGCCCTTGAATAGGGATCAAACCTGGGCCGCCTGCACGCAGCACTTGTGCTCAGTCATTGAGTATTTCTCCAGCCCCCAAACAAGAATCTTTTAAAAGAAAAGTAATGTTTTCTTTATAAGATATCAGAAATACATATGAATCACATTGGAATGGAAATGCTTGCAGATTTTTCTTTAAACAAAAATTACAATATACATTGTGTTGGTTTATAACTAAATATAAATTATTTTTTTTTTTGGCTTTTTGAGTCACACCTGGGGATGATCAGGGGTTACTCCTGGTTCTGCCCTCGGGAATTACTCGTGGGGGTGTATGCAGAACCAACTGATGCCTGGGATCCAACCTGGGTTGGCTGCGTGCAAGGCAAACGCCTCACCCACTGTATCATCACTCCAGCCCGAGTAAAGACTTTTTTTAAGCAGAGAAGAGAAATTGTAGGCATGTTTGTTTGAGCAAAATAGTTTCATTATAGAGAAGTGTAAAGTGTATTCGATATGCCAAACACAGTAATAAAGTCTCCGACAGAGACGTTACTGGGCCTGCTCGAGAAAATCGACGAACAACGGGAGGACAGTGACAGTGACAGTAAAGTGGGGCAGGGCATGGAGAGGAAACGCTCCGTAGAGAACACGGGCTCCTGCAAAGGGGAAAAGCAGAGAACGGCTTTGGGAATTTATACACAATTTCTCAAAATTATCTTGGCGTGGAGTTCCTTGTGTCCATTAACGTCAATCTGAAGCTGAAGCGATAGTGAGGGAAGGCATTTGCCTTGCGTGGGTCCAATCCCGGTTCTATCCGCAGCACCAAGGACTGTCCCCTCGCCCATCTTAGAGCAGATTCAGGATTAAACCTGATGATGATTAAACCAGGCTGTGGCCAAAAAACAAACAAACAAACAAGTTCATCTGGATGTTGGCAGAAAGTCTTGGACTCATGAAATTTCATAATCTTACCAAGACCTTCAGATCCTCATTAGTGGCTCTTTTTTTCTCTTTTTCTTCTTCTTTTTTTTTTAGTGAAACAAATATATTTTATTTGGAGGATTTTTAAGGTGTGGAGGGGAAGAGAGTGAGAGAGAGTAATGTACTCAAGAGAGAACACGGCCTTCTCCAAGGGCGGAGAGAGCCCCTACACACATCCTAGCATTAGACACGAAAGCATGAAAGTACACATCTCAAGAGGGGAGATGCGGGTGACACATGTGCTCAGCCCACATGTGCTCGGCCACGTGGGCACAAGCAGCACATGAGCTCAGGCAGCATATGCGGCCTCAGTAGCGGCTCTTTCCAAAGGTGGGGGAGGCGGTCTATTCTCTGTGATATCAGGGCATTAACCAAAACACATCTATACTTCCCAATTCAGTTAGCCAACATTTGATTTCTTTTCCTGAGTAGGCTAGCACTTAAGTTGTGGTAAAATTTCAGCGAAAAGCAAAACTTACTTTCAGGGGTTTCTTTCTGCCATTGACTGAGTTCAGCTGTTAAGTGTTTCACTTGCATAATTGATAATGATAACTATAAAAAATAGAATTAAACAAAGTCATTCCTTGTAGAGTAGTGATAGCTACTCATAGCTGAAAGTATAGACATTTTAAATAATTTTATATTAGTTCTTAAAGTTAACAGTTATCATAACCACCTAAACCATTAAAAATCATTATCCTGGGCATCAATTATGGTCCCCTGAGCCCTCCAGGAGTGATTCCTGAGCACCAAACTAGTAGTAATACCTGAGCACTGCCAAGTGTGACACCCCCCCATATATATTTATAGTCATATATAGATTAAATATAATCCCATTAAATTATATTTATTCAATATATAATATTAATCCATAGTTGACTATCAGGTAGTCAATTTTCCTTTCCTTTTTATATTTTAGTATCAGACTACTCCCAAGTAGGGTTTTTTGTCTTCAATTTTCTATTTTGTTGATGTCTTTGGCCTACACCCAGCAGTGCTCATGGGTTACTCCTGGTTCTGTGCTCAGACTTGCTCCTGGTGGTACTTTGTGGGACCATGCAGGGCTAGAAATTAAATCCAGATCTCTCGAATGCAAAGCACGCTCTCAATCCACTGAGCTATCTCCCTGGTTCTTTTCCTTTTAAAGAAAAACACTTAGTGTTCCTTGAAATACTAGTTTAAAGGTCATGAACTCCTTGAGCTATTATTTGTCTGTAAAGTTTTGTTTTGCTCCTACAAATCTGAGTACTACCCTAGCTGAATATTCAGGTTGGTATGTTTATTTTATCGAATGTTTTCCTATGCCAAACTATTCTCCTCTGCCTTATAGTTTCATTTGCTAATTTGATCTAAGTCTTAAAGGGGTTTCTTTACACATAAGTTTCTTTTTTAATTTTGCTGCTCTCAAGAATCCATATCCATCTTTGGCTTTTGTCATTTAAATTACAGTGTATCTTGGAATTCTTCTATTTAGGTTTATTTTGGTTGGAACTCTGAGCTTTTTGGAACTGAGTATATGACTCAATCTTCAGATTGAAAAAATTCTCATCTATAATTTCTTTGACCAATAGTTTTTTCCATTCTCTCTTTCCTCTCCCTCAGGGATTCCTATAATTTGGATGTTGTTCCTGTTAAAGTTATTCCAAAAAATCTTTGTTGTCTTTTTCATAGCCTTTTTTCTTTTTTCTTCTTATCAATGGTTTCACGTACCATTCTCCAACATACTGATTCATCTGATTCATTCCTCAGGGCTTTTTTTTTTTTTTTGGGGGTACCAAGGGTGTGTAGGATAACACTGGTTTGCCCTTCCTCCCTGACCTCAGGGAGCCTGGGTTTATTGATTGCTTTCCCAACCTGTTAATTACCTTAGTCTCTTGATCAGACTCTGCTGACTTACAAATAGTGTGTTTTTCTCTTCTCCTTAATGTCCTTTGCATGGTTAGTTACTTCAGAGCAATTACTTTTTGTATGAACACAGGAAAACAGTTAAAAAGACAAGCTTGTAACTTGGGAATTAATTGACTCCAGATAATATTACCTCCTGGATATCTGCTCTCCCGAATTAAGCCTCAGTTGCCCAACAGATGGGTCCCAATGAGGGACTGAAAGGACCCAGGGCAAGCTGTGAGCTACCCTGGCATCGAAATGGGCCAGGCCAAAGTGCCATAATACTTAACTGTAAGTAAGAGCATGATCATGGACAAATTCTGTCATGATCCAAAAAGTAAAAACTAGATTTGGACCCTGCTAGGGTTAGGAATGATTAATCCAGCCTGAGCACTGTAGTCTGAGTCTGTGGCGAGATGTGCTGTTTTGTCGTTGTGGATTGCAGGTGGTCAGGAAGGCTTGATAAACATGACTGCGCTTCGGGGAGGGGGGCAGGGGGAATGCGTGTTTAGAGAAGAGGTGATTAAAGTGGTGGCTGCGGGGAGCTGGGGAGAGTAGAGAGAGGCAGAGTGAGAGAGAGCGAGTTGCTGTGGAGAGTGGGAGAGAGTTGTGGCCAGAGGCGAAGAGCGTTATGGAGCGAGTTAAAGAGAGGGTTGGAGAGACCTGGGAGAGAGCTGGAAAGAGCTGGGGGGGAGGGGCGATGTTGGGGAGAGTGTGAAAGTTAGAGAGTTAGGGAGATGAGAGATGGAATAAACAGCGACTGATCACCAACTAGCCTGGCTCTTGTTTCTCCTTCGCCGGCCCAAGGCAACAACCTTCCTGGGTGGGGATGCGGTTCTAGAGTACCAAACGCGGGCGGCAAGAGAGCCGCCCGAGAGCCTGCGGACATCCGTCAATGTGTGAGCACTCATAGTTCACTGCTCCTCGAGCTTGAGGAGCTTACACGGGGTGGTTGTTTGGTTTTTGTTTTGTTTATGGGCCACTCCCGGCAATCCTCAGGGGTTACTCCCAGCTCTGCACTCAGGAATCACTCTTAGCAGTGCTCAGGGGACCATATAGGATGCCAGGGATTGAGCCTGGGTTAACTGCGTGCAAAGCAAATGCCCTCCCGAATGTACCATCTCTCCAGCTATCTCATTCCTCAGTTCCTGTCACTCTGCTACGGAGTCTATCCAGTGACTTTTTCAATTTGCTTGTTTTGTACTTTGGTCACTTCTGATTGCAGTTTTCTCGTACTCTCTTATACTTTCCTTTTTCTTTGTTGGAAATATGTACTATTTTTTCCCTCATTTCAATGAACAGTCTTAATACTCATTTTTCAAGTACTCCTCTGAGAGTTTGTAGAATTGCTATTGTCTGGGGATGTTTTCAGGCCTTTGTTTTCATCAATCCATTGATTTCTGTGGGCTCTTCTGCTTCGTCTGAGGTGCTATTGTTTAAGTGCTAGGACTTGTGCAGGCTGGTTTTGTGCAGGCTTAGACAGAAAGTTAGGCTCCACGTTCACCAATTTCACACAGAATTGTGGGTCTCAACTGGGCTACTTCTGGCCACTGCTGGGACTCTGCAGCTCTGCTTTCCTCACTTCGTGGTTCCCAGCTCTACACCCTGGTACATGGCTCCAGTCCTGAGACAGTGGAGCCACACACAGCATGACCCGCTCTTCCTTAGTTCTTGAAGTCTCTCTCTGAGTAAAAGCAGATGGCTGCCACTCATCAAAGAGATGTTCTTTTTTGCTTGTTTCTTTGCTCTTGAGGACCACAACCGGCAATGCTCAGGGATTGTTGCTGGTGGTCCTCAGGGAACCATATGGGATGATGGAGATCAAACCCTGCTTGGCTAGCGTGTGTTCGAGACACATGCCCTATCCACTATACTATTTCTCTGGCGCCTATCAAGGAATGTTCTAAGTTTCCTCATGAGAACACTTTCCTGATACTGCTCACCCCTGTGTACCTCCTCTGTCTCACACAGGATGCTAATGTATTTTTGCGTGTTTTATTATAGTTTTTCTTCTTTTTTGGTTTTGGGCCACACCCAGCTGTGCTCAGGGCTTATTCCTGGCTCTGTATTCTGTGCTCCTGGCAGGGCTCAGAGGATCATATAGGGTACCAGGGACTGAATGTGAGTTTTGGCCACATGCAAGGCAAGTGCCCTCACCACTGTACTATCTCTTTCCCTTTGTGTTGCAGTTTGGAGCTGGTATAATCTCATAGAACACCCACCTGCACCATCTTGGTCTTACATTCACTCCATTCTCACATTTTTTTTTAATTGTTGTTCTTTTCTTTTTATTTTGGGACCACATGGGCGGTGCTCAGGGCTTACTCCTGGCTCTGCATTAAGTGACCACTCATGGTAGTGCTCAGGGGACGATATGGGGCACCAGGAATCAAACTCCAGCTGGGCATGTGCAACACAAACACCCGCTATTTTATCACTCCAGTGCCTCTATTCTCATTTTTAACACAGTAACATAATAGCAGCCAACAAGCAATTCACTCAATACCTAACATAAGCATATACAACAATAGTAACAAAGCTTGAGACAAATATAGACACAATTATATAAAATACAATGGCTTCTACTTATCTATTTTTCAGAATGAAAAAATGAATTCATACCTGAGCATTTGAATCAGTGAGTATCTCAGTTCCAATAAGTGATAATTTATTCTGACACTTGGTTAAAAAGAAAATAAGTTACATACAAATAAACACTAATAACTCTCCACCTCCCCTTTTACTTATCTTTTATTTATTATATTTTGGTTTTTGAACCACAGCCAGCAATGCTCATATACCACACAGTCTACCACTTAAAGTAGAACAAAAGGTAGACCAATAAAAACAAAACAAAAACTAAAAGTAGATCAAATTCCTACCAACATACTATAGTGGACGAAAAGTGGTTCTATCTCACTGACATAGATACATATATTTCAAACTTAATGCTTTCTATGTTAATTCATTTTCATTTAAACATAATTATTTATTATTCCCAACTTCTATAATTCTCTAGCAGGTTATAGAATAACTACCAACAATGCAGTGATCCAAATAAAAAATGTGAATCTATCCATAATTACCCCATTTCACAAAAATGAACCTCCAAAGCTTCTTATCCCTTCCTTCTTACTACCTCTTGAATCCATTTTTCGCTATATTTGGAAGAGCAAAGTTTAGTCCTAACCGTAGTTATCCCTAGAACTTCTAGTTCTTGCCAGAATTAATACCAGTCTCACAAATGTTCTACCTTTTATAAATGTTATACCTCTCACCATATTCATTGTCTTGAAAAACACACAAGCAATTTTCTAAAACTGTGTAATTCATCATGTCACTTCATATTTATAACCCTTTCATGATTTCCTATAGTATAGACATAACAAAATCCTTCACATTCTTACCCCTAAGTATTTTTCCAGTCTCACCTCACAAGTCTTCTTATATAAGCTATAACATTCTAAACTCACCCAAGCTTTATATACTGGCTCTTACAGTTTTGTATACCTTTTTAACTTCACAGGCTAGCTTCTAGTAACTTACAGAAATGAATTTAGTCATTATCTCTTCTAAAAGCTAGCTTCAACATCTTTAATCAATCTATGGTTAACTACTCCTTCTAAGTATAATCTTGGCACTTTACCACAAAACATCTTATAACTATTGCTTACATTAAACGATAGTCTTCTTTAGGGCAGAGATTTCCATATTTTTCTCTTTCTATGGTTCACCTAGTATAAAGTCTCTTATATAACTAGTTTAAAATTATAGGTTTAAAACTATTGTATATTTATCATATAACAGTTTTTTGAGTACCAGCCTAATATTTACTTGTCTAAGTCTATCCTGGAAATTGAATTGAACATTATATTAATTTGCATATCAGTTTTATCTCTCAATACTTACTTCTTCCATATCTTTCCACATTTTATCACATTTTTGGATAAGTTCTTCTTCAGAACTTCTAACATCATCAACATCTGTAGTACTATCTGGATCTAGATCCTGCTGATTCACTGACATGTTCCTTAGAATTTTCTTAACCTTATAAGAAAAACTAAAGACAATTTATTCACTCAACAATATTTAAAATTTATTACCTGCCAAGGGACCCAGCCCCAGCAGCTGACCTCCACTACCCAACCACTGCCACGCTCCAGGCCGCTTTCTGGACCGGCCGACACATCATAAAACACTTTCTACCCACTTTCCATAATTACCAAACCATATATGATGGGGTTCAGAAAATTACTGAGAGAAATATATAAATATATGCCTCTTGGAGAGCCCGGCAAGCTAACGAGAGTATTCTGCCTGCACAGGCAGAGCTTAGCAAGCTCCCCGTGGCATATTCGATATGCCAAAACCAGTAACGACAACAGGTCTCATTCCCCTGACACTGAAAGAGCCTCAATCGTTAGGAAAAGACAAGTAAGAAGAGGCTGCTAAAGTCTCAGGGCTGGGAGGAATAGGAATAACATTACTGGTGCCCGCTTGAGTAAATGGATGAATAATAGGATGACAGTGATATGGTGATACCTGCCAAATACACAATTAGGAACTAAAGATGTAGCAGGGAGATAAGAATTCCTCCTTGCAGCTGGAGCCATAGTCCAAGAAGGAATGTATTTATTTGCCTTACATGAGACCAACCTAGATGTGATCACAACATCCCATAAGATCCCCGGAGCACTGCCTGGAGTTAATTCCTGACTGCAGAGCCAGGAGTATCACCAGGTGTGGTCCAATAAACAAACAAACAAACAAACAAAAATCCCTCCTAACATATGGCTTTACATTCTTGTTAGGGAAAAGTTAATAAAACATAAATACGTAGACACTGCAGTATGTCCAGTGACTTAGAGAGAAAAGCGAGACAGTGAAAAAAAAATGACTGCTAGGGCAGGGAAAACAACTTCATATAAGATGGTCGTATAAGGTGCAAAGAAGCTGACATGTGAACAAAAAACATGAAGTTATATAAAAACATGAGACAGGAATGTTTTGGGGGAATAGTTTCAAGCTAAGGGTACTCAAAGTGCAAGACTTGGGGGATAAATATGAGTGTTGTGTTCCTAGAGCATAAAGCTGCAGGTGTTCATCTTCCAGAGTAAGGTAGAAAACTGATGAGGGTAGAGAGAAAATATGGATGAGTTCATATGGGCACTTAGGCTATTTTTTTAGGATTCAGACTAATATAATTGATTTGAAGAATAAGTAAAGGAGCAACATAATTTAAAACGTTTTAACAGCATATATCTTGTTACTATAGCCAGTAAGGATAAAAGTGGGAACACCAGCTGTAAAGTTATTGCAATGATCCAAGTTAGATTTGAAAATGGATAATACTGCTCAGAAGACTATGTGGTGTGGGGAATCAAACTGGAGCTGGCAAAATGCAAGGCAGCCTCCGTAACCTCTGTTGTACTAGCTCACGGCCCAGTCTACTGAATCTTAATCAAATTCTGAAATGTCTCTTTTGGTGGCCCTTGACAAGTTAATTCTAGAACTTACACAAAAGCATACAGAATCCCCAAACAGTTAAGAGTCTCCTGTAGAAGACGACAGACATGTCCACTAGGACATGTCTTTTTTAACTTATTCTTCAAATACGCTAAACATATTATAGAACCATACTAATTCTGTTAGAGTGACGTTGGAATGTGGAAAAGCAAATTAAAAACTGAAATGGAATATAAAGTCTTTCTAGGCACACACTTATGAGTCTGTGGTCTCTATTTTATATGCTATACTGTAGCACTGTAGCACTGTCCTCCCGTTGTTCATCGATTTGCTCGAGCGGGCCCAGTAACGTCTCCATTGTGAGACTTGTTGTTACTGTGTTTGGCACATCAAATACCTCATGGGTAGCTTGCCAGGCTTTGCCGTGCGGGCGAGATACTCTCAGTAGCTTGCCGGGCTCTCCAAGAGGGGCGGAGGAATCAAATCTGGCTCTGCCAGGCCGGCCGTGCAAGGCAAATGCCCTACCGCTGTGCTATCACTCCAGCCCAAGATGTTATCTTCTTGTTACTGTCCCCCCGTTGTTCATCAATTTGCTCGAGTGGGCCCAGTAACGTCTCCATCGTGAGACTTCTTGTTACTGTGTTTGGCATACTGAATACTCTTGGTAGCTTGCCAGGCTCTCCGAGAGGGGCGGAGGAATGGAACCCGGCTCGGCCAGGCTGGCTGCGCGCAAGGCAAATGCCCTACCGCTGCGCTATCGCTCCAGTCCAAGATGTTATCAATAAAGTTAAAATTTTAAATCCCAAAACTAAAAACCCTTTGCAATTTATATAACTACACACAATGAATGTCTGCAAGTTATTATATATATATATATATATGTATATATATATATAAGAGCCAAAGAGCCCAGCAAGCTACCGAGAATATCCTTCCCTCATGGGCAGAGTCTGGCAAGCTCCCTGTGGCTTATTTGATATGCCAAAAATAGTAACTATAACAGGTCTTGTTCCTCTGACTCTGAAAACAGTAACTATAACAGGTCTCATTCCCCTGACTCTGAAAAAGCCTCCAATCATTGGCAAAGACGAGTAAGGAGAGGCTGCTAAAGTCTCAGGCCTGGGAGGAATAGAGACGTTACTGGCACCCACTCGAGTAAATCTAGGAACAATGGGATGACAGTGACAGTGATACAGTGAAGGATTTGGCTCAGTGGTAAAGCAAGAATGCCTAGTACGTAACTCCTTGGATTTACCTCTCTGGCATCCCACCACCACACACAGACACACTCAAAAGTCAAGACTATTAGTTCCTTCTGGAAGGCAGAAAAGAGAAAAGTTTGGGGGGGGTGGCCTATAATTGGGATAAGTCAAATGAAGAGAGTTCTGCGATGATTATCGAAGTTTAATTTGGTTTTGTCTGTGGACTACAGTTGGCAGTGCTGGGACTGGCTTTCCTCAAAAGTTTTGTGCTTTGCACTGGTACTGGATTTTGCATTATTTACCTTACTCAGAAGTTAGAGAAAGAAGACAAGTTATTTTTCATTCAAAATTGTCATAGCGAAAAAAGTAGATAAGGAACAACGTTGGCAAGAAAATAAAGAGGTGTGTACTACTGGTGGGCAAATGACTAGGTAGGATAATAGCACTGTAGCACTGCCCTCCCGTTGCTCATCATTTTCTCGAGCGGGCATCAGTCAAATCTCACAACAAATTGTGAGACTTTTTGTTATTGTTTTTGGCATATCAAATACCTTACGGGTAGCTTGCCAGGCTTTGCCGTGAGGGCGAGATACTCTTGGTAGCTTGTCAGGCTCTCCGAGAGGGGTGGAGGACTAGAACTCGCATTGGCCATGTTGTCTGCGTGCAAGGCAAACGCCCTACCCGCTGTGCTATCGCTCCAGCCCAGGTAGGATAATAAGACATCAAAAAAATTAAATGTATTCATGTTGTGAACCAGAAAGCCTGCTACTCCTGGTCATATTAGAAGTGAAAATACTTGCATAGGCTACACAAGAATGTTTACTGTGGTGTGTCCTGTACAAATTTTTTTTTCCTATACAAGTCTTTAATTTTTTTTGCTAGTTATGAACTTTTATTTCTTTTAATTTTTTAGACTTTTTATTGAATCACTGTCAAATACTCTTACAAAGCCATTCATGGTTAGATTTCAGTCACACAGTGTTCCAACCCCCATGCCTCCACCAGCCTACATTTCCCAGCACCAGTTTCCCAGGTTCCCTCCCCCCCCCTCACCTCCCTACAGGTCTTTATTAAGTATTAAACACTACAATCAGACTGTTGGTTAAAATACTGGGTATAACCTTAGACAAATTTTACATAGGGGCTTCTGAAAGCAGGGTTTTAGGCAAAGTCATTTCCAAAAGCTGCACCGAATTAACCCTCAAAAAGCAACAGATTCAGATGGAAAACTTCGTTATGTGGTTTTTTTACCACCACCCTCCCCCCCGCCCCCAAATTTTGAATTTTCTTTAAGGAGATAGTTCCAGATCTATGGCCCTGCAGCAGGCAGTTTGGATGTATCGTAGCCACTTCTCCCCTCGCTCCTGAAAATAGTAACAAGAGTGCGGTCCCCCAGACAGTTGGGAAAAGAAAAAACTTTGGGGAGGAAGTGGGGGGTCCGTGGGGACACAATAGATATGGATCATTTGGGAGACAAAGGACTAAGACCCAGGAGATGCGCAAGCCGGTGTGGCGCTCGCTTTGCACGCAGCCGACACGTCCAACCCGGGCACAGCATTTGTCCTGCCAGGTCTTGGTTCCTGAGCACTGAATCAGGAGCGCAGAGCCCGAGCACCGCCGGTGTGGCCCCAAACCCAAACAGATTTTTAAAAAGAAGCAGAAAAAAGCGGTCCCCAATTAACCATTTCCTGGGGGTCCCACCGAGTCTTTCCCTCCTAAGCCGCGGGGTGCGGATAGGTATCTCCAGTTTCAAAGATAAAGATCGTCTGCCCTCCCCGCTAGGTCCGGCATCTGCTCGGCGCCCCGGACTGGACGCCTGGACAGTGCTCGCCCCCGCCCACCTCTCACCAGCGCGGGCGGCGGGGTCCTCACCCAGAAGCAGGCCGAGCGTTCCCGCCGCCGGGCAGGCGCGCGCTGCGCTGATTGGACCGGCTCCCGCCCGGCCGGCCAATCGCGAAGCCCCCGGAGCGGTGACGCGCAGGCGGCGACGCCGCTTGGCGATTGGCCGCCGAGCCGCGGCCGTCGCGCCGGCTCTGACGTGTGCGGCAACATGGCGGCAGAAGCGGGGACCGATTCCCAGCAGAGGAGGCGGCGGCGGCGGGAGCCGGAGGAGCCGGAGGACGCGGAGCTGGACGGGAGCGACCTGACGGCGGCGGTGGCGATGGGCCGCGGGAACGAAGAGGAGAGTGAAGAGCGCTGGGTTGGGCCGCTGCCTGTGGAGGCCACCTTGGCCAAGAAGAGGAAAGGTAGCGAGCGGCAGAGCGAGGCGCCGGGCGCGCTGCGACGCGGGGTCGTCGGGCGGCCGCGGAGCCAGACCCCACAGCGGAGTGTGCGTCTGTGTCCGGGTCCGTGTGTGTGTTCTGTGCGCCCGGAGGGATGTCGTCTTT